TTGACAGCTGGTAAGCCAGCTACTTCACGCCTTGGTAGTGGTTATGTGCCGTGGAGTCAGTTCTTACTCATAGCGACCCTGTACAGTGTTTCTGAGGCTGTAAATATTTATGGGAGCAGAAAGCCTCATCTTTCTCCCATGGAACAGCTGGTAGTCTCGAACTGCCTTTATAGCCCCCCATTTTTGGTAACCAATGTCTAAGTTGCTTGTCCCTATCAAACCTGTGTACTGAGGGGACAGGCTTGATTCTTGATGTGAAAAATCATTCCTTCTCAGTTGGAATTTTGAGCAACTACATCCATAAGGGTCGGAACCGACTAGACGGCACGTAACAACAACAACAACATCCATAAGCAAAGTTTCAGTTCATCAAATTGTAGCAATTTACACTTGCTTCCTTTATCAGACTTCTTATCTTCCACTAATTGAATTCTGATCAGCAAGCCATCAAGCTAGGCCATATGGGTACTATCTGCAAGTTTGGGCATTCTTCTGTGCCTCCCGCACATTTCTGACCAGCTGGCCACTGCACTCTCAGCTCTAGCCCCCAGTGGCTAGGTCAGTGTCTATGGGCTCAGGAGTTTACAAGTTTCCCTAAACTGTAGACCAGACAACACTTTCTCTTCTCTCTGTCATTTCAAGGTTGAAGGGTGTCTATGGAACATGCATTTCCCCATTTCCACTCACAAGCAGACCAAGGCAGTCACCAGAGTTTATAAGCCTGCTCAATGTTCCCTTTGAGTTTCAGTCTTGGAAGGGGGTTTACCCTGATGGGCTGACTTTTCTGCCTTAATGGATCCCAGGCGAACAGCTGGTTTGTTCTTGTAACAGCCAAACAGTCTGCTTTTTTTTTTTTTCCCCTGCTGGTCTGCATGTCCTTTCAAGTGGGGATGTCCCACCTCTGAAGGTTGTGGTGGGACTCCGGATTCCACTTAAGGCCCCAATTTCCTCCTTTTTCACATCTGACCTGCTTCTCTCATGACCTTTAACCTTCTGGCCACTAAAGGCATCTGTATCTGTAAAACATCTGAACTATTGTTGTTGTTGTTAGGTGCCATCGAGTCAGTACCGACTCATAGCAACCTTATGCACAGCAGAATGAAACACTGCCTGATCCTGGGCCAACCTCACTACTGTTGCCACACTTGAGTCCATTGATGCTGCCACTTGGCCAATCCATCTCGCTGGGGGTCTTCCTCTTTTTCTTTGACCTTCCACCTTACCAAACATGATATCCTTCTCCAGTGACTGGTCATTCCTGACAATATGTCCGAAGTATGAGAGATGAAGTTTGGTGATCTTGGCCTTTTAGGAGCACTCTGGCTGCAGTTCTTCCAAAACGGATCTATTGGTTCTTTTGGCAGTCCATGGCACTTTCAATATTCTCCTCCAGCACCATAACTCAAAAGCATCAATTCTTCTATGGTCTTCCTTATTCACTGTCCAGGTTAACTATAGGCAGGTTCTTAATTTCCTCACCTCTCACCTTAACCTGATACGGCACTATGGGTTAATGCACTGGCCTGCAAAGTCTCTTGAACCACAAAGTCAGTGGTTCAAGTTTACCAGGTGCTCCTCAGAAACCGTATACAGGGTTGCTATGGGTCTGAATCGACTCAATGTCACTTAACAACAACAATTGCCACTCAACCCTCCTACAAACCATATAAAAAAACAAATCAACTGCCATTGAGACAACTCCAACTCAGTTGTAACCCTGAAACTTCATCTTTCTCCTGCAGAAGAGCTGGTGGACTTGAACAACTGACCTTGTGGTTAACAGTCCAATGCTTACCTTACAGCACCACCAGAGCTCCATCACCACTCCTCAGCTCTGTAACTGGCTTCCCTTCAGAAACTATTCTTGCCAAAATCACCAGTGAATGACTTGTCGGAGAGGCTTTCCAGCCCTTGTCTTATTTGCCCTTCAAAGCAGCATTTGAAGCCATTGACTATACCCTTCCAGAGAAGATGTCTCCCCGGAGTAACCTCCATGGTGTTTCCCCATGTTGGCTCTCCTTTCACCTCTCTGTGGGGTCCTCTTTTTCAGTCTCTCCAGAGACTCTTCTTCAGACATGTATTCTGGTGTTCCTCAGGACTTTACCCTATGCCCTCTGTTTTCTTCACATCACTCTTTGAGTAAACTCAAACACGTATCTATTGGAGTGACCAGTTTGCTGAGTAGCATAAACATATATTCAACTGCCTACCACAGATACTTAAAACACAGCATGGCTCAAACTAAATGATTCCTGTTTTCCTGCAAAACAACTTCTCTCCCAGGGTTCCCTCTCAGAGACAACACCACAACCAATTTCCCTGACCCAAGCCAGAGACCCAGAATTCACCTTTGACCTTCCTTCCACCTTCTTCCCTCCCTCAGGCCCTCATCCAAGCTGTCATCCAGGCCTGTTGATTCTACCTACTAAGTATTTCTCACGTCTGCTCACTTTCCTTTCTTCTAACACCAAACACCAGAGTCCAGTCCATATTATTTTGGATAAAATTTCACTCTCAATATATAAAGTATGGAGTCCTGGTATGGTACTGAAGGATACACACTAGTCTGCTAATCACAAAGTCAGCAGTTCAAACCCACCAGCCACTCCTAGGAAACACTACACAGGGTCAGAACCAACTCAACGGCACTAAACAACAGCATATACAGGCATAGGTATTATTGTGTGATGATTCAATTCAGACTCAGAGCAACCCCAGGCAACAGAGTAGAATTGCTCCACAGTGTTTCCAGGCCATCATTGTTTTGGGAGCAGATGTCCAAGTCTTTCTCCCTTGACAGCCAAGCCTTTAACCAGTGCGTCACCACTAGGGCTCCTTATAGTTTTAGATATAATGGTGGTGGTGGTATGCTGTGGAGTCGGTTCCGACTCATAGCGACCCTGCATAGGTTTCCAAGGCTGTAATTCTTTACAGGAGCAGAAAGCCTCATCTTTCTCCCATGGGATGGCTGACAGTTTTGAACTGCTGATCTTGAGGTTAGTAGCTGGACTCATAATCACTATGTTACCAGAGCTCCTTAGGTTTAGATATAGGTATAAATATATCCTCTTAGCTCCTAGTGTATTGCATGAAGTATCGAATATATTCAACAAAAAATTTGTAACTTACTACATGATCTCACCTGAAAAATTTCTGCAGTTTTTCTTCAGTCTCACAAATATATATACGATCCTGATATTCTAAAGCATAGTTAATGTTCCCAGGGATTAGAGCTTCATATCTGAAAGACACACACACAATCAAATGTATGATTAATATGCAATACTGTATAAATAAAAATGTCAAAAATGTTTTATTTTTCTACCTATGCAATTCGAGAAAGAAAAAGAACTTTTTCAATTAAACAATAGGGAAGTTTAAACCAATGTGAAGACAACATTCCCTGTTTTCACAAGGGTGAGGACTTGCCTTTGCTTTCCATCTTGGTAGGTCACTGGGCAGTATCCTTGGAGCTCTGCACACTTAGGGAAACGACACTTCAGCTCTGATAGTGTCAGCCTTTTGGGAATCATGTCGGCAGATGGGAGTGGATAGGGTGCTAACGGAGGCACGTACTGTTCTGGGTTCTCCAAGAATTTCTATTTAAAAATGACAGTAGGGAGACAGACCATTTAAAACAGGAAACTTACACCAATCAAAATCCATTAAAAATCTGCAACAATTTGCCCTTTTCTAGTAGTGATGTCCTGCCCTTCAAACCACCTAAGGGCTGTTCTCTGCATTGTACCTTTTCCAGTTGGAAGTTCCTTACAGTAATTGTTCTCTTAATCTCATTTTACTAAGGAGCTCTGGTAGCCTAGTGGTTATGAATCGGGCTGCGAACCTCAAGGTCAGCAGTTCGAAACTACCAGCTGCTATGCGGGAGAAAGAGGAGGCTTTCTGCTCCCACAAAGATTTACAGCCTTGGAAGCTATGGGTTGGAACCGACTCGATGGCATATAACAACAACAATCTCATTCAACGAGTCCTGGTGTGGCGCTGTGGGTTAATGCGTCAGGCTGCAAAGCCGTTTGAACCACAAGATCGGCGGTTCAAGCTCACCAGCTGCTCCTTGGAAACCCTATACAGGGTCCCTGTGGGTAGGAACCCTAGGGTAGGAACTGACTTGACAGCAAACAACAACAACAATCTCATTCGTTTTCACAGAAAATATCTGTTGAGCTCCCACCATGTACCAGGCACTAGGGACTACTGCTGACCTGTCGTCTTGTTCTGCAGTATATATAATCACTAGGTAGACACCCTGGATGCAGCTGAGTTAATTTCTGATTTTAATTATTGCTGTCAAGTCAGTTCTGACTTGCAGTGATTTTCTAAAAAGGGTTTCCTGGGAGTGGCTGTTGGGTTTGAATTGCTGACCTTGTGGTTAGCAGTCCAGTGCATATCCTACAGCACCACACCAGGACTTTAGTTAGCTCTCTGTAACATGACAGGAGTGGACCAGATACATGAGCTTTCATATCACTTCCAGTTTTAAATTCTGGGATTACCATTTAAATAAGCAGGAAGAAACAAATGCTCCCTTAATGTAGCCCCTCCCCACCCTCACTAAAAAATCTAATCCTTTAGGGGAATAGTGCCCAGGTTATAAACACATTATAAAGTGTTCAGCTTTCATTATTATTTTCAGCTGTCAACTTCTTTTATATCATCAAGCTTTGGACATTATAATATCAGAACAAATCTGTATTCTGTTTCATTTAAAGACAAATGTAAGGCACACAGGGAATTTCTGTTTATATGTAATAGAGAATTGTCTCTAGAAATAAGACACATACACACATCAACTCTCTCTTCATTTATACTACCTTTAACTTCCCTTCTGGAGCCTTGGAGCTGATCCCCTGAGTGCCCACCCTCCATGGGGAGGAATGGGAAGGTGTTCACTGTTGGGTCTCCCTCCCTGTGAGGGTGGTCCAGTCCCAGCCCACATCATGGAAACTGGACCTTAGCTTTGTGCCAAAAATATGTCCTGGGATGTACATCTTATGAACAATTTCTGAGTTGCTTCACTGGTCCCAGGTTCTAATAATGGAATTCCAGCCCTATTTGATGAACTCCCCTGGTAAATATTTGGAGTTAGGAACAAACTTACATTTAGTTTTTCCAAAGAATTCATTTTATAATAGTGTCCCCTGAACTCTGCTGCAAATTCCAAGGAATTCATTACAGAGCAATCAAACAATTCATATGCTTCGGCTAGGCTGACAGGACAGAACTCCCCAAATTCTCCAAGGTGAGAAATCAGTTCTTGAGGTGTGATACATAACTTGTCAATGCAGGCAGCTTTCCCTGTTATTAACAAATTAACTATTGTTAATTACTTACAGTATATATATATATATATATTTTTTTTTTTGGTAGAACACACAATGATTAAAAAAATTAAAATAATGTAGTTACAGAAGCAGTATACTAATGCATAAACATTGTAAAATTCCAAATAGTAGATTAAAAAGTTAAAAAGTCAGTTTAAATCCCTGTCCTGCCAACTTAACACCCACTCCTGAGAGGTAATTACTGTTGGGTTTGTACCGTGTTCATACTTTTTCCTACACATTTACATACATACATAATTTTTTACATATAGGGTTATAACAATGAATTCATTCTCAGAATCCTCATGGCCTTGTTCCTTGTACAATATTCTCTTAGTCACATTGTTCCCACATCCCATATGGTATCTTCTTTGTAGTGTCCGAAGTTAAAATTCTCAAACAAATGTCTGTGAAACCTCTTACACATAATATTTTTGAAGTCATTGTTATTTTTAAAGATGTCAGCTATAGATAACCTTCCTTCCATTTTGTTTATTTCATATAAAAGTCAATTAAGTTATCTAATAGGTTGTTAGGTGCCATTGAGTCAGTTCCAACTCATGCACAACACAGGAAAACACTGCCTAGTCCTGTGCCAGCCTCACAATGGATATGTTTAGGCCCACTGTTGCAGCCACTAAGTCAATTTATCTATTTATCTTCCTTTTATTTGTTGAACCTCCACTTTACCAAGCATTATGTCCTTCTCCACGAACTGGTCCCTCTGATAACATGTCCAAAATAAGAAAGATTTTTATTTTCTTCACATTGAGATGCAATTCATACTGAAGGCTGTGGACTTGGATCTTCATCAGCAAGCAAGTTGTATCATCTGCATGTTTCAGGTTGCTAATGAGTCTTCCTCCAATCCTGATGCCACCTTCTTCTTCATAAATATAGCTTTTTGGATTATTTGCTCAGCATACAAATTGCCTAAATGTGGTGAAAAAATACAGCCCTGACACACATTTTTCCTGATTTTAAACAATTTCATATCCCCTTGTTCTTTTGAATCACTGCCTCTTGGTCTATATACAGGTTCCTCATGAGCACAATCAAGTGTTCCAGGAATGCCCATTCTTTGCAATGTTATCCATAGCTTGTCATGAACCACACAGTCAAAAGTCTTTGCATTGTCAATAAAGTGCAGGTAAGCATAAACATATACATGTGCTATATATATATGTGTGTGCTATATAGATGTATATATTTAGAGAGAGCACAATATCAATAAAGCAGAAGTAAACACCTTTCTGGAACCCGTATATATATATTATATAGATGTTTGCTGTTGTTGTTAGGTGCCATTGAGTCGGTACTGACTTATAGTGACCTTATGCACAGCAGAATGAAACAC